TGGGCATTTCCCCACCTGAAAAAAAAAAGTCTTTGCCCTCTAACAAATCTTAACACCGCTGCCACTGATTGAGGGCCTGGCCACAGGCAGTGCTTTGCTACAGATTGTGTGAAAAAAGCATTACAATACAGACAGGAGAGCTTTCTTTAAGCTGCATTCTGACCACACTATCACGTAAGACAAGCTTTACAGTTTGTGTACTTGCTCAAGGCTAAGTGTCCTTTTGCATTTTACACTCTTCAGAGGAATTCACATCTTTATTTAAACAATGCTGAGAAACTCAAATATTACTATATATATATATTTTCAATGATATTTACTTAATACTCATACAGTTTTACACAATACTATATATTTTGAGCTTCGGCTTGTCATGAGCTGGCAGTGTAATTTCAGTCTGAGCAGGAAGAACAATCAGCCTCACACCAGCTCCTTGTGATTTGTAGTGACAACGCTATTCATCCATCCCAAAGCAGTTTTCATTACCCACCCCTGAAAAAAGCAGCCATTTCTAAACCCAAAAGCCATTTTGCATTCATAAACCTATCAGTCACCTCTGGGGGCTGGTGACACAGCCATACTAGTTCAAGAAAACCAAATAGAAGTGGGAGGCTGTAAGGGGAAAAAACCCTGCAGACAGGTCAGTGTCAGTCAACAGAAGATAAAGCATCTCTGCCAAAGAGGAAAGAAAGACAAATTATCTTTCAGCTTAAATAAGGTATTTCCAGTAAATAAATATAAATGAGGAGTAGTTTAATAGCAAGCACTATTATGAGAATCAACAGAGGCCCCAACTTATTCTTTTCCTTACCTGGCTTCTCCAGAGCAAGAAATCCTAAATTTCAAGGCCAAAAGAAGTCTCAGGTTCATATCAGACAGGTATTTTCTTGCAATAGCCAGCTCAAAAAAAGTACTCTGGGTTACAGAGAATAACAGAACACAGACCATCACATTTCACCCTCTCCTACATCTGCCCACCCTGCCAGCCACTCTCCTTCCTCAATCTATCTTTGCATCCCCCAATTTCACCCTCACCCTGCCCAGGTGGTGATTTTTTTTACAGCAGCTGTTGCTCATCCCCCCTTGATCTCAGTCAGGGCTGCAATCAGCCCTTCATTAGCTCTGGGCCAGGGCAGCTAGGGATGTTTCTCCTCCACCAAAACCCTCATGCTGCAGCCTGTGTGTGGAAAGGAACTTGGTACTTACCATCTGCCTACTGTTTTGTGTCACTAAAGTTTATTGTGCAGAGCTGGTTGACACACTGGTAACACCACTGCACCACTGTGGGTGCAGGCACCTCGAGCGCTGTCTCATTGCCACAGGGCCAGCACACTTCAGGAACACGCAGTGCTCTTGTTGTCAGACTGCACTGGCATGACAAAGTTGTGGTGGCAAGAACATATTTTCTGTGGAAGAAACACGTTGCAGGAAAGCTCTGAGTGAACTCCTTGTCATCTATCATAAGCCCCGAGGCATGTGTTTTGTTAGCAGAGTAGATAACAAGATGCTTACAGCACTGTATGTAATTAAAAAAAAAATCTACACTGTGAAATGTTAGTGTTGTCACAAGTGAGAATCAGATAAGCATGTGTGAATCCTTCTGAAACTCAGTCATCCTTCTTGTTACTAACACCACAAATCAGAAACCTAGCCTGCTGCTGCACAACTAGAGCATGTTCAGGGTCCACCAGCCCTGATGGGAGAAGCTGTGTAAGCTGCACTTCTCAAGCCTAGGGAAGAAACAGTTCCCCTTAAACTACAAGGGGCATATTGAGAAGATGGATCTGGGCTTTTACTTGAGGTTTTCTGTGGAGGAAAAGGGACAATGGACCTAAACTTAAAAAACAAACAAACAGACAAACAAAACAAAACAGCTTTCAGGTAAAGCAAGTAATTTTCACTATGACCTAAATTTAAAAAACAAACAAACAAACAAAACAGGTTTCAGATAAAGCAAGTAATTTTCACTATGAGAATAAATAAAGGAACGAGTCACCCAGCATCCTTGGAGGCTTTTAAGAGTGAGCAAATCTGTGAGCACTCTGATGTGGATTCGGTGTGACCCTGATTTTGGTAGGAGACCCCGAGGACCCTCCCAGCTTGGGTGTCCTTGTGATGCTACTAACCAGCCTTCGGCGTCCTTCCCAGAGCCAGGCAGAAGCCAGCCGCTGGATGTCACCCTGCGCTCACCGAACAGTGCTGCTCCCACCGACAAACAAGGGATCAGATCCCATGGCAGCGGGAAGGCTCGCTCAGTTACAAGCTTCTGACTTAAGGTAATGACTTATGAGTATTACACTTCTTCAAAGACATCCTTGTTGAAAAGTACACAACAGGTTAGTTTAAAGGTTTCTGAATCCCTGCCTGAGGTTGAAAACTTAATACTGGCTTCAGACAAATAGATGCCATGAGTTAAGAGTGCATTTCGAGGCCACATTGAGAGTTCTACACAACCTTTTTTAAATGCAAACCTGACATACACCTCAAGCTGTGCATGTTTCCCCTATGCTGTGATAAAATGAACAGAAATAGACCTTGAGATCTTGTCAAGTGTACATATGACTGAAACAATAATGGTGAAACTGCTGTGATTTCCAAAGAGAAACTGCAAGGACAACAATCACTGTAGGGGAAAAAGAAAGATTGTAGAAAATCAAAAGCATCCTCCAATGCCCCCTAGCATAGTATTGATTCTCCCCTCCTCCTGAAAGTCAGCTCCTGTTTATTTCAGACAGGTACGCTGCAGCATGAACACTGAGGTGTTTGAATGCCAAGCTGTGTTTTTCCAAAAAAGATTCACCTAAAAATGTGAAATGCAGGAAGCAGATCTGAGTTCAGTTTAATCCCATTCAATGCATATTCATACCAGAGAGACTTATAGCAATTCAAAGGCTATCAGCTTTATTAACAAGTAGCAAAGCACATGCAGGTAAAAAAATTTCTAAAGAACAAATCCTATGTGGGACTGGGTCCCTATCCCAAATCACTCTCTTTAAATGAAAATTTTATTATTTTGGAGAAAGATTACTTGTTCCACAAACATCTATTACAGGCAGAGCTCTGTGTCCAGGGAGGGTGCCCCGATTTCCTCCCAGCGGCTTTCCCTGGTAGCAGCCGAAAGATTGCCTGACTGCTTTCAGTGCTATTCACAGAAGAAATCAATGTCCTGAAAAAGAGAGTTAAAAGGAAAGATGTTTTGAGATTACTGAAGATTAACATTCCTTTATCAGCCCCCGAAGGTACATGAGTAAATGCAAACACAGAATACATTATAATATATGCAAAGTACACCATAATATATTCAAAGCATTCTGGAAAAGAAACAGGCCTTTTGTCTTTTTGACTCCTTTGCATAGCTCAGATTTGTTCCTGCCTTGAATTCTTAAAATTAATTAGACAATACCTCCTTCTCTCTTAATTTCAAATGATTCCTTTATCTCCCTTTTTTGTTTCGTGTTTCTATATCCACACCTGGATTCATTAGTCATATGTAACCCCTTATCCTCAAACAATTCCTAATCCCACATGAAAAGGATGACTTAGACTGAGGCTGTGCAGTACAGTTGCTACGGAGAAATGCTGACTAGAAAACAAATGCCAATATTCTGTTTGAAAACTTCTGGCATGGAATAGACTTCCAGAGCATATTGCTTCCTTCCTGCTACTACCTTACATGCCTACACAGATCTTGATTCTGTTGCACGGAATTATCACACTGTGGTGCTCATTTCCATTCAATGTATCCCAAATAGCTGCCCACTGCACGCAGGAAGACAGGGACCTGTGGCAGAACAGCTGCTTACTGGTAATGAGAGTGCTCTCAGCCAGCAAATGGCCAGTTTTAAGTGACAGAGGGAAGGCAGGCAGTCCGACACCACTTTGTAGTACACATGGCCTGTTGTGCTCAGTCCATTGTACTCAATTTGATTCAATGGTTCAGAAGTAGCAGCACTGAGAAAAAAAAAATCTCCTAAGATTCATTGCTCAAACAGCAACTGACAGGCATGGATTACCCAAGTGCTGCACAAAAGGAGGCTGAGAGAAGTTCACAGGCAGGTTTACTATAGCAAGATCTGCAGCTAATGGCATGCATTGACTCCAACAGTGAAAGTTACTTTTGGGGATGAAAAAAGAAAAAAAATAAAAGGAGGGTCAGAGACACAGAGGCCCCCAGGCTGATGTTCTCTTTCAGGCTTCAGGTGCTCCCCACAATATTGTTCCCCACTGAGTTCCCTATCAGTCCTTTCTTCACACAGTGCCATCCAGTGCCATGGGTTTTGCCATCCAGTGCCTTGATCAGGGCAGATGCTGTATGCTGATTTATTGTTAAGCTTTGGGCATCACCAGATCTCCTTATATAAATATGAACCCCTTCCTAAGAGAGCACACCAATATTGGGCTTTGCAGGTGCAAGGCCAGGGAAAACATTGCAAACAAAGCAAAAACACTGAGAGAAGGTTACAGAGCTATGAGCGAAAGACTGGCTCCCAACTTGCAGATGGAAAGCTGGTGGCATCTGTGGAGGTGTGCAACACTAGTTCTGTGTAGAACAGCTCCTTTAAGGGTTATTTCTGGAGCAAGCAGCATGTCCACAGATGGGTCAAGGTGTGCTATAGACTGTTTTAAATGTGAACAAAGAGTCAGATCCTGAAGGTCCTATTTGCAACATACAGCTGAGATCAGTAGGACATGAAGAACACCTCTGTATTGCCTCCTATTTTCCTCACAGTGTTCCTGCACAGCAAGAATGTGAAGGAAGGGTGAAAGGACTGGAAGTCTGTGTCAATAGTTTTGTGAAAGAAATGACTTGCCAATTAAAATTCAGTATTGCAGCCTGACAGGACTCCACTGTGGACCCTGAGTCAGGCTGCAGGCCAAGGCAGTGCTTCACCTACTCTGCTTCCAGTTCAGCTTGCCATGCAGCAGACTGGCTGTCATATCATTGAGAAAAGAGCTTAGGAACATACTTTGGACATTTTTTCATGTTCTTTGACTAATTAATTACTGCAAAGCTTCTGGGACAAATTCAGAATAACCCGGTGTAGTGTCAAGAAAAGCAATCACTGGATAAATATTGGATAAAAATGTGCATTTCCTCAAATAAAACTTGTCTGACACATTGTAACACAGATCCTCTCAACTATTAACCTGAAACAAAATTCTTCCTTTCACTTATATCCTATGTGCTAATCAGACCCATCTAATAATCTGGACCTAGGATTAAAGACTCCAGATACAATTTCCAGGCTGACATACTAATTGTATTTTGCCATATGCTGCAAAACAGTGTATAGCTAAACATTCAGTATGGATGAAGGTAAGTACTGTAAGACTACCACTCGATTTGGTTTTAAGCACAGAAATAAGCTACCAGTAAGCATTAGTTGTAAGCCAAACCATACCAGCCTCTGAAGAAAGGACCCTCCTCTTCCACTCCTCTGTGAAGTGCTTCAGATATTTAGTAAAAATACAAATTTTACGGTATAGGAAACCCTACTGAGCAGTATCAGGGACAACCATCCTTTCAGAAATGCAGCCTACTTACTCACAGAACTCTATTGTGCTTCCAAAACCTTTTTAATTCAATTTTCTGACATACCATTAACTTTGTAATGGAAAGCAAACATGCTCTCAGCAATCACAAGTTCTTTACGGCAGTGTCCATCTGTATGTACAATTAACAGAAGGCACACTTTTACACATTACTGAAGTTCACAGCACAATAGCTAGGCTCTAAAATAGAAAGCTTTGGGTAAAAGTTACATGGCCTTGAAGGAATACTATCCAAATCAACAGGAACTCTAATAGGATGAAGCCCTTATTCCAGCATTTATAATGTCTGCAGTATCAAAGCTTATGTTAGGGATCTTATCAAGGCTATTTGCCTGTATAAAGATTGCATCCCTAAGCATCTGTAACATGCTACAATCAACTTCCACAATCAGCAAATTAGCATTACATAGCCAAGTATAATTATGTAGCCAGCTTGGCTTTTGCAAATTCCTTACCGTTGTAGGAACAGTCTTATTTGCTTCTTGATAGATATGTTGCTCTGAGACTAAACTGCTAGGGAAATAACCAACTGTCCCCATATGGTCTTCATACTGTTCTCCATAAACCTTCAAGCAAGGAGATGTATAATTAGGTACCTTAAAACAATCCTCATCTGGTTCGAGCTGGTTTATCATTTAGTCAAAAGGAGTCACCCAGTAGTGTTCTTACTCTGGTTTTACACTTCCTAGGTTCCAATCAGCTGGCATATGAAACAAACCAGGCATAAAGCTCGAGCAAACTGATACTGCTCGTAATTTGTCTGGATCTTTTTTTTGTAAATGCAGTTAATATTTATCTTTGCTTTGCTTAAATTTAAGAGTTTTATGACCAATTGTGATAAAAGCTTTCTCCTCCAAAGTTTCAGCAAATAGCCACAGAAAAGAACTGTTGAGCCCTTCTGTTAAGATTCAGTTCATAATTCTATATAGCTATTGAAGATATTTCATTTTTAAAAAGAAAAATATTACAGCCCTCAAGACTCCTCAATCAGTCTGTTTAAACTTTCACTTTTAAAACTAAGTTGTTGCTTTAAACCCCAGAATAGCTTAGCATTAGCATCCATTTTTTGACAGAAATGTGTGTTAATCTACTTCTAGTTTGTTCATATATACAAGAATCTCCTCTTACACTTCCAGCCCAGAATTCTCCAGAGTCTTTTTCTTTCACTAGTTTTGAGTAAACATAGATCAACTGCCCTTTTCTAATATTGATGAATCTGCAGTCTGAAGCATTATAATCCTCTTCTGCTCTGGCAAGGGAAATAGCGTCTAGGAAAGAAAAACACCAAAGGAATGGGATGGAGGTATTTAAATACATGGATAATTTTAGAGAAATACAAATACATGTGGGCTTTTATGCACATAGGTAAAACTATTTCCACAGATAAAAATAGGTTATCTTGAAATCAATAGAAGTCTTAAAGAATTTGCTCTGCTCATTTTGCTATTTTACAGTAAGTGAAGTAACAGCTTAAGATCGTGCCATTTCATCACAGTGAAAGTTACAATCCTTCTCTCTACACTTAATTTTCACTTAAAAGAAAAATGTCCTTTACAAACCCCACTTTGCAGTAAAATTATATGTGACATTCCACATCACCCTCCCACTCTACTTTTAAAGCTGACAAGTCAATACAAATGTAACATAGCTAAGTAAGCAGAGTAGTTTTCACCTCTCTCTAACACATCCGAACTCCACCGTTATTTTTGAGACTATTTTGTCCTCAAAATTAAAGCAGATTTACTTACAGACACAGTCATCATCAGCACACAGCTTCTTGCTGGAAAGCTTGTCCATAAAAATTCCAGTTGCAAGAGGACACATTAAGCTGAGACGCAAAAGTAAAACCACCAAATAAACACGTTGTGTCATTTTTCTTTGCCGCAGCACTTGAGGAATGTGTGCCAGGTTCGATGATTCCAGGCTTTTATGGAAGAGGCAGACACCTGGACAAACACGCTGGGCCAATGGGAAGGGGCTGGGGTGACATTCCACCCCACCAAAGGAGCCGCAGGCAGGGGGAAGATCTCAGGGTCCACTCACAAAACCGAATCCCCTCCTAAAGCCATTCTGCATTAACATTTCAATCATCAACTGTATTATTTAAACAGGCTAAGCCTTCCTAGACTTGTCTACAGCCTTAATCTTACCTCAAGCAAAGTTTGAAAATGGAAATTAAGTCAGATCCTGCTAAGCAGCGAAGGAAATTACATCCTTCCAAATCCTCCTGTCCTTCATTTTTGCAACTGCTCACTGACAAGCATGATCTTTGCTGGACTGTAAACCCTCAGTGGCAGAGATTCCCATTTCCACCTACAGAAAGGACCTACTGGGACTCTAATAGATGGATGAAATGTAAGCAAACCATTAGGGAGTTGCAACGCAGGAAAAAGGCTTTGCAAGTCAGCGATTCAAATTTGAAATTTAAGAGTTCAAGCACCACATACTTGTGCAGGTAAGATCCCTCCCCCAAGGAGATGCAGTCACAGCAAAACACACAGGTCACACCAGGACAGCAACAATTTCCCCCTTTTTACAGAGTTTGCAGATGCAAGACACTAAATGGTGCCACAGACTGACTTAAAATGTCCTCTTTAAACCTTGGAGAGGACACCTGGAATTCATCTACCTTCCTCAAATCTTGTCCTAGCATACACGAAGCAAGACTTGTAGGGAGTATTTTAATTAAAACACATTCAGGCACACACACACAAAAGGAACACCCACCAGAACTGCTGTGGGTGCTGCCCTGTCAGCAATTCAGAGTACAGGCTGTCAGGCTACAGAAGGCTGGTCTGGATCAGTCCTTAGATGCGACAAAAAGCAAGTCTGGAAATTCCTAAACAGCACTCCAGAGAACCAGCGCTTCCCAGTTCATGAGGAGGCCTGAAGAGCTGTTGGCTGTACCAGCTTTCAGCCCACAGGTAGAACAGCAGAACCGGTAAACTGTCATCAAATATCCCACACTCTCTTTTAAAGACGTTGCATCTTGCAACTTTTAGCATCACCTTCCCCTGACAGCTGATTTCACCACATTCTCCTCTAACCTTCCAGCCTATTACTCCTTCCTCCCAACTCCGATATGTAGTGTCCAACTTTCTTGGCAGACAGCACCAAACCCTTGGAAGTGAATAAATGTGAAAAGCAATGGCAGTCTCATGCACACAAACTAGTGGGATGCAATGACAGCATAATTAATACCTATAGAACTACGACTGCAAAAGGAAAACCAAAAGGTTCATGATGGATTACCTGTCATTTTTGCTCCCTTACAGGCACATGGAAACAGTTTTAACTTACAAATATTAGAACACTCACAAAAATCACTAAAAAGAATGAAAAAATCTGTATATGAAGACAGGTCAGTAACTGAGATGATTGTGAAAGAGGTATCATCTTGCAATATATTCTGGGAGCAGATGAAATTTCAATTTTTTAGGTCTTGTGCAAAAAAAAGTGGCTTATGTTGCCACATACAAAACACTAGAACTTTTTAAAGTGATTTTTTTACCAAAACATTTAGAGCAGTTACAATACTACATCTGATTATTTCACTGCATCCAGTGTTAATTACATAAGACCTGCAAGGTTTTTAATAAATGAGAAAACATAAAGTAAAACAAACCTAACCAACCCAGAGGCATTAGGAATAGGTATTTTGCAAAAGAAACTTTTATGTTTCTTCTGAGGACTTGTTTCTACTGACAGCCACCAAGACAAAACCAAGTTGAACAACAGTGGTGTCAAACTGCAATTTCTACCCATAGCTGGGAAAAAAAAACTCGCTAATGATAAGTCATTTTTCCTAAGTGACAAAATGTTCTTGCTGAAAAACAGCTGTCCTCTTGATAACGAGGCTGAAGGTTGAGTGCTGTATTTATTCTGAATATGCTGGCATTTAGCATTCCTGATCACACTTTTTGCTTTGGAAGGACAGCTATTTTTCAGCACCTACTTCTGAGAAATGAGTGTCACCTTAAAAGCAGTTAAACTGAATAAAGCCCTGCAAGGCTAATCAATATTAAGACAGATCTGAGGAAAAAACATGGCTTGAAAACAGCATATTTATATTTTATTTTATAAAAATTAGTATTTCAACAGAAAAAGTTACTATTCAGTAGATCTGCGGAAATCCTACATCTGTCCTGGTCATTGTGGCAATTCTGCACGAGTCTTATGTTTTTTGCAGAGAACAGCAAACATGGCAGCTGATGAACATATCATCATTTAAAAAAAAAACCTATCCACAGAACTCCTTTACAGGAGCACCCAGCTATTTCTTTGCATAAGTGATTTTCATGGCATGAGATGGAGTGATCTTGAACCCCTGGAGAGCATCTCGAGCAGCTCCTGCTTGGTTCTCATTTTCAAACTCCACGAATGCGATGTCGTGGCGCCCAGGCACTAAGCGAACTTCTTTGAATCCAGGAAACCTGTAAAATAAGGTGAGAGTCAAATCATGTTTCTTAGCTTGATAATATATCTCTCTTCAGTTGCAGTAAGACCTTTTCAAAAGCATCTACTAGTGCAATAGTTACTACTAATGAAAGATTTAAACTGAAGGGTTTTACATGTCTAGTCCTTAGAACTATGCCTCAATTAAGGATTGTAAGGTGGAAGCAATTTAATCAGTCTTGTATTCATACAGGAGCAATCAAAGCTAGTTTTAAAACTGCTCCTGCAGTCCTACAGTCTTTAAGATTACAGTCACCAGCTTAAACCCAGTGCGGATTGATAGCAGATAAATTACACAATGAAAACCAGCTATGAAAAAGATTGGATTTGCTTCCTGAATCAAGTCATCAGAACTGACATCTGCAACCTTGGCAGTAAGACAAAGAACTACCTTCAGAAGAAACTCTTATTTCTATAAAGTCAGCTTGCCAGCTGAGAAAGCACACACAGGTAACGGAAGAATTCAAAGGACAAGCCATCTCTATTCAAAACTTACTGATTGAATAACATGGACAGCATCATCTCATTCGTTTCCTCAGGCAAGTTATTAAGGAAAAGGATATAGTTTGGTGGGTTATCAGGCACCTGCAACAACAGAAGATCAAACTTCAGAAGATTACACAGTTACCCATTCTTCTGCATCTGTCCGCATGATTATTTGAACCAAGACACACGCCCTTAGCTTTGCTCATAACATTCTAGCTGGGCTTCACAAGACCTTCAGACAGAGCTCATTGGCTTTTACAGTGATATATTAATTTGGAGAGGTTCTTATTTCCACAAAAATCACATTAACATGTTGTCTTAGATGTCACATCTTAACAAGTCAAGAGCTGACACTGCAGCACTCTCCACACCCAGGTGCTCAAGTAATGGCTGAAGTGCTGTCCAAGACACCCGTGTGGCAGTGGAAGAACCTAGGAGACTCACAACCTTCCAGAAGAGCAGTGGGAAGCCAAGATGAATACCCTGTTCATCCACAGTACTACCAAAATAAAGAATATCTCTGGGCAACCCAAATCCACAAAACCCACATGGTTTTACCACAGTGCTCAATTCAAATTTATTAATTAGAAATCTCATTAGATTAAAAGCTTTAGTCTTTGACAGATTTGCCTGCTGATATGAATTTGAAGCCACCCACCAGACACAAGGCTGAGTAGTCATTTGCTGACACTGGAATCTCCAAGTCATCCAGTAAATTATAAGACACAACTTCAAGTCATCCTAATAATGGTGCCAAGTAATTTAAAGCCTCAGTAAAACAATCTCCTTCAACTGATGGAAATATTCCGGGCAGTGCCATTAGAAAATAAAACTTTTGATGTTCAAACAAATACCCAGAGAGTGTTGTGCTTCGATGTGAACTGATGTACATATATTGTGCCTGAAAACCCAGAGTGGGAGCAAGACTTTTTCCCTGTAGATGCATGCAATTCCCAATTACAGAACTCAAGAAAGAGATGCAGGGCAGGCAAATATAGTCTTCTATAGTATTTGCTCTCTTTAGCACCCTCATTTCTAACACACATGAATCATTTAGAAGGTCACTGAGCAGACAAGACGAGTGAAGTGTTGGGAGCTGTTGCTGTATCTCCTCACAATCCTTCGGAAAATTAGACATTTATAAGAATAAAGTAAGCAGAGGACCCCCAAACTCCTGAAAGGAAGCTTTTAGGCAGATATTCTGGCACCCTGTATTGTCTTCCTTCTCCTTATCTACTACTAGAACAAAATAAGTTAAAGGGAATTTATTAACAATGATACTAAACACAGTCCAAATTTAAGAATCCAGTATGACTTGATAAAAGTGCTGTTTTCTGTATAATAATAAGAAATTGCAGATTCTCATTTCCTGTCAACCAGATATAGTAAAAGGGGGATTTCTTTTGTTTGTTTGCTGTGATTTAGTTGTAAAACAAATGTCTCACAGGCCAAAAAGAAAACTGTAGAATATACTCTCAAGTTTCCCTGTGTAACAAACCTATTATTCATAGAGAATAATTTTAAACATTAGTGCTTTTAGTTAAAAAAATAAAAAAGCAATACCTGATTCTGTGGTGCAGTCCCTGGGGCATTAGCTGAATTTGGTGTTGCTCCCTAGCAAATAAATACAAAACAACTTCACAGAAGTGTTCTGTTAGAAATATATCAGCACACATCACCATGTTTCTATACAACTCACGACATTTGTTAAGGTTTTTTTAAGCTACAATCCAAGGAACATTTGTTGCTTATGAGATACTTCCCAAAGGGAACAAAGCACATGAATTTTGCTGACCTCCAAAACCAGGCAATCAAAATAAAAAAACATCAGTAGTATCTGGTCTGACTAATGGCTGAGTCAACTATTTCTCCACATCACAAAATTCAGTTTACCAGTTAGGGAGGGAGGAAGCAATTTTGAAAATGAAGGC